CCGAATCAAAATTGGATACTTCTTGAAAATTTTAATATAATTAAATATTAAGATAAATAAATAAATAAACAAATTAAATAAAGAATTTACTGTACCTTCATTTTCATAACCATTTTCATCAAAATTTGCACTTTGTGCATAATGAAATTTCATTGCTTCCATTAAAGGATGGATAAATGCTATGGTAGGATATCGTCCAGCACTGAAATATTCAGTAGCACTATCAAAAGGTTCTAATATCTCGAGTAATCTTTGAACAAAACTCCACTCTTCTTCTCGTAATACCAATTGTTGCAGTTTTCGTCCATCTTTTCGTGCATCTGGATCATCTCGAAATGGTAATGTTGCTGAAAGCCATCTGATTGCAGGTTGTAGCTGAATTAATCTCTTCCATGATCGATATTTAGAATTCCAACGGGTTGGAACATCTTTGACATTTTTTAATATAGGAATAAATTTATCAATAGGATAATTAGTTGCCACCTCATTTTCCACGTCTTCTGAATCACCATCATAATCAGAGTCATCAGATAAAATTGGATCATATGAAGGTACGTTATTTCGTCGTTTTTGCTTAGATATTTCAATTTGTGCAGCATCCAACCTTTGGCTTTGTTTGGGTGAGTCAAAAAACTTAACCAATTCTCGAATTCGGTGAATTTGTTGGTGATTTTTCTTTAGGGCGTGGTTGACAGATAATTGCAAGGTATGTGCAGTACATGGTAATCTTTCTACGCCATCCCAATCTCTTATGGCAGCTACCATATTGCTACCATTATCCGTAACGACACACAAAATTTTATCTTGTAGATTGAAATCTTGAACTTTTTGAATAAGAAATTCTCTAATTGCCCGACTGGTATGAGGATATGGCATCGGCTCCAAGCAAAGTAAGATTTCATTTAATTCAAATTCTTTACTCAACCAATGTGCTGTGATTCCAATATATCCAGTTCCATTTCTTGCCGTCCAAAGATCCGTAGTTAAAGAAACCATTTCACTGCTTTTTTCCAAAAGTTCATATATTTGATTTCTTGCATTTGTATTTCCAAATGATATTTCTTTTTTTAGTGCTTTATAAGAAGGCCGGCGGAAACCAGGATCAATTTGCAACATGAATCGGCGAAATCCTTCTCCATTAATGGTATCAAGTGGGAGATTATCGACAATAAGCCATTCTACAACAGCACGATGAATCTTGGTTTTTTTTATTCCTTTGTGAGGAGCGATATGTAACATATCGGCAATAGTTTTCTGGGAATTCAAAGCTTTCGTATGATTCTAAAATTAATTAATTCTATTTTTAATTATACATTTTACAAATAAAAATATAAAATTTGATTTAACTTACCTTGTTTTCTCTTTGAAATTCTACTAAGTCATGTTCATCAGCCAGATGCAAATTCATATTAGATGTTGACCATCCCGGTAAGTACTTGAATGATTTTCCACAAATAGATTCTTCTTCATTTTTTTTTTGTATTTTAAATTGACATATTGTTTTTTTTTCGGTTTTTTTGAAATATTTCCAGCATTTTGAGGTAGTTTTAGTTGTTTTATGCCGCTTGTGCTTTTGCTGAGTACTTTGCTGTTGCTGTGTATTTTGTTGAATAATTTGTCGAGTATTTCGCTGAGTACTTTGCCGTTGAGAATCTTGTTCATCTTCTAGTCGTTCAGTTATATGTAAAATTTCAGCTACATGTGAACTTTCACTTTCGCGTGAGCTTTCAGTTGCGTGTAAGCTTTCAGTTTGTGAAATCTCATCATACTCATTGTCCGACATTATTAACGTTTCAAAACGGAAGCATTATTTACAAGCCAAATCACACTATTTATTTAAGTTTCACGATTTTCTACAACTTCCACCACCTTTACGTTCATTTTGTATAATACACATAATACATCACCTCAATGTAACAATGAATTTTTAGATTTACATATACGCGCCTGATGTTCTAAACACGTACGTTGTATAAGAAACTGTAACTTTTGATAATTGGTTAACCAGTTAACCGGGTTTTAACCGGTTGAAACCGGTTGAACCAGTTGAATCGGTTAAAAACTTTTCTCAACCGGTTCAACCGAATTTCTTTGGTTAAGGTCGGTTACCCGATTATGGTCTAATCGGTTCAAATCACTAGTTTTAATCATTCCAGATTTGATAGTGTATGTCAACTATAAGAATAACTCTTAGAGCATTTACTAGGAAATATAGGAAAGTAAGACCACAGGTATTATGGATATTTGAGCTTAAGATATGAAATGATAAGAAATTTAGTGACAATTAATATGCTTATTATTAATTAACAATGATTCAAATAGCTGAAATCCGAATATGAATACATCCATGAGGTATAAGTTGGTATTTGGGTATAAATAGGTGGTGCTAGGATTAGATTAGCTAAAATAGTTAATCAAATCTTTCATGTAATAACCATAAACTAAAGTTTAATAAACATCTTGCATGTAATATACTTTGCCTATAAAAAAAAAAAAAAAAAAAGAAGTTTTAATCATCTGATATAATTTTTATAAACTAATTGTTTTTATTATAATATTAAAAATTTTTTTTTTCTGTAGTCAAACAAGTGCATATGTTTATTAAATCTTTACAAAAAACAAATAATATATAATACATTGTATTGTATAAACTATCTACTGTCTTGAATATCCATCTTAGACTATGTCTCTAGATATGATTTTGGAGATGAAAAAAGTTGCTATCTTAATCTTCTATTCACTTTTGGAATATGAAGGTAAGAATAATTGCTCACAGTTCATTATTACAGTTCATCTGAACAAAATCTAGACTACTTATTATATTCTCAACCACTTTTTTCCTTCTTTGATCCATCTTCAAACCACTATTTCATTTTGTTCCTGGTATTGCTTAAGCTCTTCATTCGTGGTTTCTTCTTGATCTGCAGGATCTTTTGCTTCATAATCTTCTTGTTCTTCAGATCCTGCTTTTTTCTTGCTTTGGGTCCTCATATGGTTACCTTTCTAGTGCTTCTTTATTTCTGGCTTTTTTCCTAAATCTTGTAGCCTGAAGCATCTATCATTCCATATCTTCTTTCTGACCTGTTTATAAACTGATCTTGACAATTTGCATAATAGAAATTTTGCTTCACCCTTCTTGACTTTCAATTCCACCATTACTAAACTCCATTCTATAATATCTTCTTTTTGAAATAGTCCTAGGATAAAGTTTATAATATCTTTTCCTTGAGAAAACTTGTCTGTATACCACTTTGCTAGCAATATATTGACGTGAATTCTTGAGCCTTGATTTATTCTTTTTTGAGTCTTGTTTAGCCATTTGTTTAACACTAGGTCTTTAGTCTCATCCCAGATTTCTTTTCGGATTTTTACAATGTCAGGACATGAAAGGAGATGTTCGAGAGATTCCTTTTTTTTTCTATAATATATACAATCAGTTAGGCTTTCATATTCCTTGGGGAATCGTTTATTCATATTATCCAGAGTTGGAAGCTTATTATGTATCATTCTAATTTGAAAGAATTTTTCTCTGGTCTTCTTTAATGATGTTTCTAGAGCTCCTCCCACTTTGTTTGCCTCCCAGAATTCTTTCCAGTCGAAATTTTCATGGTTATTAATCTCTTTCTGCCATCTTTTTTGTATCTGGTTTTGACCCGCCCATTTCATTAAAATGTTTCTTTTATATAATTCCTTAATGAAATCTCTTGCTCCTATATCTATGGGTATTTCATTCCAGCAGAGTATCATTAGAGCTTCTTGTCGATACCACTTTGTCCATATGATTTCCAGTTCTTCTTTGGTTTTCTTTGCCAACAGATCTATCTTGTTGTTATTCGCGTCATTACTATGTGCTTTAACTTTGGTCATTTGAACTGTAATTTGTTTCTTCTATATCAGGTCAATACATCTCATCCATAATTGCCAGTTCTTGTACTTTTTGTTTCGTTTTCCTGTATCTTTGATTTGTGGATTCTGTAGCTTCTGAAGAGTATTGATACACGTACTATTATCAGTTCTAATTTCAATTTGACTTTTTTGTGGTACAACTAAAAGTGTCAGAATGATTGCTATTAGTTCTGCTTGCAATACTGATGATCAGTTGTCTATTCCTGCTTGAAAAAATCTTCCAGGATTTGGTCCCTTCTCTTGTAACCATGCTGCACCCATCCTTAATATCTGGTTTTTTGCTTTTCCAAAAGATCCATCTGTATAGAAGCAATAGATTTGTTGATAATTACTGTATTTGTTTATTCTATACTCTTCAATGAGTGCTTGGATATATTCTGGAGAGCTGATATGGTTTTTGATCATCTGTATTCCAAAGTTTTCTATTTCAACTGCTCTTATGCAGTTATTGATAATCTCTCGTTCTGTGAAATCTCCTACTGCTTTCTTAGCTTGGTTTTCCAGAACATGAAGACTGATTGGAATTTTTAATTCAGAGGACTTTCTTAGAGTTGGATATTGATTAAGAATTTCCACAGCTAGAGGCTTGTTCTGTGATCTTTTGTTGCCCCAATGGGATTTATTGGATCCAATGGATTTCCTATTGAATTTATAGAGTTTGATCGTGGCATGACTTCTACTTTTTGAAGTTTAGTTGAGTCTAGTTTGGATTCTCTTTTAATTTGATAAACTTCTATTTGGAAGTCTTTGAGGCCTATGTTGCCTTTACTTCTGTACCATAAGATTTCTTTATCATTTTCATCTTTGGCTATAATTTTCTAGCTCCATCGACATCGATCTCTGTTTAAGTTTTTTGAAAAAAACCTTCTGTCTTGTTCTTTCCAATTCTAGTCTTGCCATTTCTCATTTAGAACTCTATACTCATTTGTACATAAGAATTTAACAGTTTTGAATCAGAATGGCATGGGTCCTTTGCTAGAATTGGATAAGATCTGTATAATCTTCCATAGTAGTATTGTTTTTGTGTCTCTATCAATAAGTTGGTCCATAAATATAATGTTATATTTTCTTAGTGAAAGAATTGCCTTGAAATATAATTTTGTATCATTGAGCTTGTTCTTAATAGATAATAATCCTCCTTTCCAGTCAAAGCTATTTGACCATCGAGAGTTGAATATTGTGATTCCCAAGTTGTTAGCTGCTTTGAGTACTTGAGCTGAGAAGTTCTTGAAGCATTTGAAAGATTGAGGGATTTTGCTAGTCAGTATATTATTAGGCTCTCAATTTTGAATCTGGACTTGTTTAAGATGAATTGGTGTAGATATGCTGGATGGACCTGTATTGTTAAGTCTATTGAACAAGTTTGAGATTTGATTTTCCACTTGAATCTTTTCAATACTCTTTATGTTGTAAATCTTTTTGTGATGTATGGTTGAATTTGGAATTATTGAAACTATTCCTGCGACTTGTTTAAGTACTTTTCTCAATTGGACTGTCAGCTTATTACAGATATTCTGTTTGATAAAGCAGTGTTGCATTCTGTATAGGGCTCCTAACAGTACCACTTCGATATCAGTTCGATACCAGTTCGATACTTAAATTTACTATAAATTCATATAAGTGGGTCACAACCCATATATTAAATTTACTATAGATCAGTACTATTTCGATATCACTTCGATACCGGTTTGGTACTTTTCGGAGCCCTAATTCTGTATTCTATCCGAGGAATCAGAACTCTGTTTAGAATATATTTCACTTGCTTATCTGTAATCTTCTTTCTTTTCAAAATTGGTACCACCACTTCAATTTCTTGTCTGATTTGATAAACTGTGTCTTTGATATGCTTCTTACTTCCTATCCATATACCTAGGAATCTAGTAAAGCTGTTGCGGTTATTTTCCATTACTTCTTGTCGATCAATTCCTATGTGTACTGAGTTTGGTTCTTTATTGCAACTATTGATTATAATCAGGACCGATTTGCTATCATTAATTTGGGAATTATTGGCTGCATAAAACCACTTTGCTCTTTCCAGAATATTTTTCATATCCTCTGCTGATCTAGCAATCCATGTAATGTCATTCATGTATGTTATTGCTGCTTGGCAAATTGTGAGGAATTGTACATTCTCTTTCTTGCTTAGGTCAGACTTCCATTCACAGTTCATGGAGTATCCTAGTTGGATATTATTCTGGATCTTACATAGTAACAAATTATAGAAAATATAATACAGTAGAGGAGAAATTGTTTCACCTTGATTTATACCATCTTCTGTAACTATTTTTTCCGTTATACCCACATCCGTAATTATTTGAATTGATCTGTTGATAAAGAGATTCAAAATTAGCATTATAATGTTTACTGGGACTTTGATTCTTAAGAGAGCTCTTTATAGCATATCTAAACTAATAGTGTCATATGCTTTGGCTGTATCTTGAAATAAGATCCATAGTTTCTTGTTCTTTTCTTGAGCTTCTTCACAGATGTTGTTTATTAGGTGTATAGGTTCTGATATACATTCTTCTGATAAGTCAGTGAAGTTTGGTCCTTTTAGAATGTTGTATGTTTTACATATAGCTAATAGTCTATTTGTAATTATCTTGGTAAAACATTTTCTCGAGATGTCCAGGAGTATAATAGGTCTAATATTGCTAAGAATACCTTGCCATTCTTTCCCTTTTGAGATCAGATAGAGTAAGCTTTCCCTCTATATTGTTGGGATTATATCATATGTTAAGTATATATTCATAAGTTGATACAATATTCTTTTTCCAGGTGTTCCTAGGTTTTTAAGCATCTCGTATTTGATTTTATTGGGTCCAGCTGCTTTGTCATTGGATAGGTCTTTGAGTGCTTCTTCTAATTCGTGTTCTG